TAGTATATATAGGATAATAATGTCTGTCTCATTCTATAGTCTTTCCCATTCCCACTACCCCACCCTTCCCCTCACTCCCCTCTCCATAGTCCAAGTTCCTTCATTCTTCCCTACCCTAACCCACAGTATGGATCAGCATCTGCTTATCAGAGAAACATTTGACGCTGGTTTTGGGGGATTGGCTTATTTCACTTAGCATCATATTCTCTACTTCCATCCATTTATCTGCAAATGCAAATGATTTCATTCTTCTTTAAGTCTGAGTAATATTCCATTGTGTATATGTACTGCATTTTCCCCCCCACCCCACCCCCACTTTCTTATTAAGTTCAAGGAACTGCTTCATTGCTTCTCTTTGACATACCTGAATTGCCAGCATCAATACTTTTGTGCTTTGGGGCCATTATTAAGTAACTTAAAGACTGAATACAGGAACTACAATACTGCCACAGTTAATCTGATAAAAGACAGCTACTAAATTGACCAATGGAGATGTAGCATACACAACATAAGATATGCAGGACAAAAAGATTACTGGATTAATGGGTAAGATGAAATAGGATGGGGGAAATTTACTTCACACTACTCATAGTAACATGCAATTTTAAACTCATGATTACTTATACCTGGAATTTTCCATGTAATATTTTCAGTAAATATGGTTTACTGCAAGTAACTGAAACAGTAGAAAGCAAAACCACACAAGCGAGAGGGACTACTATTTGCTATGTGCAAGAATCTCATTCTACATGAGGATATAGGTAGGCTGACAATAAAAAAAAAAAAAAAAGATATACCATGTAAACATTAATATAACAGATTGATATTACTATAGTGGTAATATACTTTTAGAACAGTAAAATCCAGAGCAAAGAAAACTAATAGAGGTGAAAAATCAGATAATGATAAAACTATCATTCCAAACTAACATAAAACATTCTAAATACATTCTAAATATGTACATACCCAACAACAGACACTCAAGATAAATGAAGAAAAAACTGATAAGTTTGAAAGGAAAAAGAGGCATCCAAAATTATAGTTGAGGATTTCTAAACCACTCACTCAGCAACTAATATAATTATCAGACAAAAAATCAACAACTATATGAAAGAATTGAACAATACAATCAACCAACAAGAGGTAATGACATACACAGAACAATTTATTCAACAGTTAAAAAAAATGTTTTGAAAGACCCTCAGAATATTTACCATACTAACTCATATTCTGAGCCACAGAATAAAATTCTGCAAATACAACTTAAATCATACAAAAAAATATTCTCTGACCATAATGAGGTCAAACTATCAATTAGTAACATTTACAACAGGGAAATATCTGACCTCTTAAAATTAAACGCCTTCTACATAGTCAAGGAAGAATGAAAAAAAATAGTACATAAAAATAAATTCAAATAAAAAGATGACATACCAAAATATTAGATATAGCTTAAAAGCAAGTCTGAGAGGGAAATTTATCATGCTAAATGTTTACAGAAGGTCTCAAAGCAGCAAGCCCCTAACACATATACACACACACACACACAAAAAAAAAAAAAAAACCACAGAAAATAAAGAACAAAAAAACCTGAAGCCAAATTGGTGGGGGGGGGGGGGGGGTAGTAATGAAGAAACAATGCAAATGAAATTGAAAACAGAACAACAGTATGAAAATCAATGAAATAAAAATCTTATTCTTTAAAAAAATCAAAATTGACCTCTAGCAACACTGAGAATGATGAAAAACACAAATCACATCAGGAATGGAATAGGATCATCATTACAGATCATGCATTTATATAAAAAAATTATGAGAAAGGGACACAACAAATACCTTTACAGTCATAAATGCAAAAACTTGGATTAAATGATTAAATGGACCAATTCTATAAAAACCACAAAAACTCAGCCAACATTCAATGGATAATCTGAGTATTCCTATAACTACTGAGGTGAACACTTCATTTAAAAGAAATCTCCAGGACCAAATGGTAAGCATACTATTCTAGAAAATTGAAGTGGAGAAAATACTTCTCAAATTATAAAGTTGGCATTACCCTGACAATATTATACCAAGATAGTATAAAAAGTTAAACTATTGGGGATGTGGCTCAAGCGGTAGCGTGCTCGCCTGGCATGGGTGCGGCCCGGGTTTGATCCTCAGCACCACATAAAAAAAAAACAAAGATGGTGGTGTCCGCCGAAAACTAAAAAATAAATATTAAAAAATTCTCTCTCTCTCTCCTCTCTCTCTCTTAAAAAAAAAGTTAAACTATCTACCAAAATCTCCCATGAACTTATGTGCAAAAATCTTCAAAAGATATTAATAAATCAAATTTAATAATCCATAAATAAACCATGACCCTTGTATCTAATGTATGAAATATGATATGTCAAGAGCTTTATAATGTTTTTAACAACCAATAAATAAAAATTAAAAAAAAAAAAATAAATAAACCATGACCAAGTAGAATTTATTTCAGGAATACAAACCTGTTTCAATAATCAAAAATCAATCAATGTAATCCAGCCATTGTCCCGAAGCTAAACAGCAGAAATCATATGATCACATCATATGATACATAAAAAGTATTTCACAAAATAAGCTAATCCTCAAAAAACAAAGGGGGATTGTTTCTCTGATATGTGGATGCTAACCCACAATAGGTGGGGAGGACAAGAATAGATGTTCAGAGGATTAGACAAAGGGGAATGAAGGGAAGGGAGAGGGATAGGAATAGGAAAGACAGTGGAAAGAACCTGACACAACTTTCCTATGTACATGTATGAATACATCACAGTGAATCCCCCCCATCACGTATCTATCTCCATTAAGACTGGGACCCTAATTAGAATAAGATATATTCCATGCATGTATGTTTTTATCAAACTGGACTCTGCTCTCATGCATAATTAAAAAGAACCAAAAACCGAAGTATTTTGCATTCACTCATAATAAAAACTACCTTTACTTCAATAGAGGAGAAATTATTCAACTTGTAAAAGAGCATTCACAAAAATCTCACAGCTAACATCAAACTTAATAATACAAGACTGAATGCTTCCCCCTGGATGTGGAACAAGGCAAGGTTGTCTCCTTTCACAATGCTTATTAAAAATAGCACTGAAAATCCTAGGCAGTAAAAAAAGGCACCAAAAGAAAGGAAAAAATTGTCTGTATTTTTGGATAACATGATTGTCTACTACAAAATCCCAAGGAATATACATCAAAACTCCAAGAATTATTATATGGGCTCAGTAAAACTGCAGGATATAATCCAATCCTGCAAAAGGTCCATTGAATTTCTATGTATTAATAATGAACATGAGGAAACAAACTGAAAACAATTCACAACTACACCGAAGAAAACTTATTAATAAATCTAACAAAAGGATACAGGATGAATGTCCTGAAAAATTACAAAATAAATAAAATACCTAAATAAATGGAGATATACACCATGTTTATAGATTCAAAGATTCAACACAGAAAAGACATAAATTCTCTACAAACTGATTTGTAGTTCCATTGTACTATCAACATCCCAGCAAAATTTTTGACATAGATAATCTTATTCTAAAATCTATACAGGAAGGCAAAAGACCAAAAATTGGCTGAAACAATTTTTAAAAAGAAAAATAAAGCAAAAGCAATCACTCTACCCAGTGTTAAAGATTACCAGTAAGTTAAGAATACTCAAGCTAGGCACAGTGGCACACACCGTAATCCCAGAAGCTGGAGAGGCTGAGGCAGGAGGAGAGCGAGTTCAAAGCCAGCCTCAGCAACTTAGCAAGGCCCTAAGCAACTAAATGAGACCTCTCTCTAAATAAAATATTTTTTTAAAGGGCTGGGCATATGGCTCAGTGGTTAAGCATCCCTGGGTTCGATCCCCAGTACCAAAAGACCACCCCACTAAAAAAAAAAGCCAAAAAATAATAATTAAGACTGTACAACTAGTGAAGCAACAGAGTCATTAAAATAAAATACAGAGCCCAGAACTATGCCTACACAAGTATGACCAACTGGATTTTTATAAAATTCAAAAGTGTACCTCCATAGACAAAACAGAAATAAAAGGTAAACTTGACCTAAAACTCACACCATCCTACCACATTTTCTGTTGCTATTACAAAATACCTCAGACTAGTTAATTTTTTTAAAGAAAGTAGCTTGTTTAGCTAACAGTTCTGAAAGATGGAAAGTCTAAGGGCTTTGTGCTTTTTCAAATAATGGTGGAAAGTGGCGGGCAACCAAGAATGTATTAGAGAGAAAATACAGGAGACAACCTCGCTTCATAAAAAGCCTATCTTGCAAAAATGAACCCAATCCAGCAAGAAAGGCATTAATCTCTTTTAACAACTTAATCATCTCTTGAAGATCCCACCAACTCTCAATAACATTAGATAAGGAATCAAATTTCAACATGAGTTTGGTACAGACAAACCATGCAAATATTTTATACAAAACTTAAAATGGATCACAGATTTAAATGTAAAATGTAAAGCTATTAAACTTTTAGGAAATAAGAAAAATCTTCAGAGTCTATGGTCACACAGTGATTCCTCAGATTTAACAACAAAAGGATGATCCAAAAAAGAAGGTTTAAGCAATTATAACTCATTAAAATTGGAAACCCTTGCTGTGAAGAAAATAACAGGCTGATTTAAAAAAAAAAAAAAATCTGTCAAAGGAGTAGTGTCTATAATATATAGAGCTCCCTTAAAACTCATAAGTAATACTACAAACAAACCAAGTAGAAAACGTGCAAACCCCAAAAACCACCTTTCACTGAAGAGGATGGCAAATAAAAATGTAATGTTCAACCTCATTAATCATCTCAGGAAAATGCATACTAAAACTCCAATGTAGATTAGCTACAATAAAATATTACAACAACATTATATATTAGTAAAGCCTGTAGGAAACATGTGCTTAAAAGGGTTGTAGGTAAAATGAAGGAAGAAAATGTACCCAGAGGACCTCCCCGGCCTCCTCAGCCCGCAGTGCAGCTCCACGGACCCTCGCCCGCCGCCAAAATGTCTGCAGGTGCGCCTGCAGGTTCCAGTGCTGCCACTGGCAGTAATCGGAGAATTCAGCAGACACAAAATCAAGTAGATGAGGTTGTGGACATAATGAGAGTCAACGTGGACAAGGTGCTAGAAAGATACCAGAAGCTCTCTGAGCTGGACGACCGTGCAGATGCGTTGCAGGCAGGAGCTTCTCAATTTGAGACAAGTGCTGCCAAGTTGAAGAGAAAATATTGGTGGAAGAATTGCAAGATGTGGGCAATAGGGATCAGCGTTCTGGTCATTATCGTCATCATCATCATTGTATGGAGCGTCTCTTAATGAAGAACAGGTGGAACTCAACCCTGCTGTCCAGGAAACCTCTTCAAGACTTTCGACTTAGAACCTGCTACATTATCCAGCTTACCTACTGTTATTTCCAAAATGATTATTTTTGTTAGTTCATGTAAAGTTTGGTTTCTAGGCTATGTGCCTTGTTTTTTAATATGCACTCCAAACTAGAGGGCCAGCTTGCCCCCGTTTTGCACAGTGCCTTTACAGATTTACCTATGAGCAACAGAGGACATCTGGACTCCAGAGTACTGTATCTAGACTTAACGTTGTCACTAATTCATTGCCATTGATTCCAGTTAAGGGAATCCATTCCAAGTTCTTTCTCCTGTCATTTGACATTATCTTCAGAGCCACATTTTAAACCTTTGGGTAATCAGATTTCCAACTTGTGCCTTCCAGGAAAAACACTACTGCCTAATACTGATCTGTGACAATAACAGGCTGTGCCTTATTTTGATCCTTTTCTGGTTCCTTGTAAGCCGTCTTCTTTTTGTAAGCAGTACTGACTCTTGCTGTATTTAAAATAAGATGCTGGTAAAGAATTTTTGCTCTTTCATTAGATATGAAGATGTTTACTTTCTTGTTATTGTTATATATATCACTTGCTAAAATATTAATTAGAAATAACCCCTTTGAAAAGTTTTTTAGAACTATGAACATGACCAAAGTTCCTAGTTTGCCAAAAAGTTAAATATGAATAAATTTTCCTTAAGTCTGTCCCTGACAGATAAATTCAGAAAAGTGCCAAATGGAATTCAAGGTGTCCTTCAAAAGGAGAATGGTAATGTTGTGTGTGGACCTTCCACACCCTGAGCACTGCTTTGTCTCTGAAACGCTGTAGATGGCGCCCATCCCTTCTGCTTCGGCCTTTTGCAGTGGGGCCTTTTGCAGTGGGGTTGAGAGGGGAGCGAGGCTCTCATTGTTTCATGTCACACTTGTAAACAAAGAGTTTTCCCAGCTTCTTGCAAACCATCAGCTGTGGGCTCCATTGTCTAATAATTACTTGAGCAACAGTTTTGTAGCCCTTTAAGTAAGAACACCTGTGCAGTTGATCATTACCTAATCCAGTCCTCAGAGGTGATAGTTTTTTGAAGTTTGTTTCCTATTTTTATTCATATTCTGCTTCTTAAATCAGTCTTCTAAATTATGGTTGTGATGAGGCATTGGTTAGGGGTGGGTGACTCTTCACAGAGGATAGCTAGCCGAGATGCCTGCTTTCTTCAGTGACAAACTGCATAGGATGCTGCTGTGGAAATAGCTATTCTCATCTGAGAGACTTTTTGTTACATACATTAGACTTAACATGAGGTTATGTGGCTTAAAGGTGGGAATTCCTGTGTGAATGAAAGCAGGTTAGGAGGCACTGAGAGAGAAAAACACATGGGCTTTATTGCTCTGTGGCCCACTATTACTAGAATGTTCTAAAACGCTTGTTTACATGCTAGTATGACTTTACAAAGCAGCAACAGCTGAGCTGCACCAGGAACTGGTTCCATTTCTTTAGTATCTGTTTCCCTGATATCACTGAGATGATTTAATGTTGGAGACATGCCTTGCAGTATGCCCAGCCGTGAGAAAGCAGCTGTTGGTTTAGAGACATCTGCACACCCTCAGCACAGGGTCCCTGGCTGGGTCTGACTCTGAATCCTTGGTGCTCACCCCTCAGCCTTAATACGCAGTCCCACGTAACCCACTGGCTCCGGCATTAACCTAGGAATACCTCGCTTGTATCCGTGCATTTAGATGGGAACTCACGCGCTATAATGACCTGAATAAAGTGTTTATAAATATGAAAAAAAAAAAAAAAAAGAAAGAAAATGTACCCAGAGGTTCATTGCCAGAGTGCCTGCAGGTTTGGTTACACACGGCCACCTCCATCTTGGGACATCGGCCAGGGACTGCGGGGCCAGGGTATCTGCAGCTTGCCACCACTGCCATCTTGGGGCAAAGCTGACTCTGTTTGGACACACGGGCCAGGGCCTGGAGGTCTGTTATCAGGGTGCCTCAGGATTTGGCTGCACCTGAGGTCTTCCAGCTGGGAGCGCTAGCAACCAGAATTTTGCTGCTTCATTGCAGGGTAGCTCCTCTGTATGAGCAAATCCCTGGTGGTCTCTCTGCAAGCTGAAATGGCATTAAGATATTGGGACTGCAATATGGCCATGATTGGTGTATCTGTAGCCCAGATCCATCAGATAGTGGCTGGGTCTGCATGTGCTGGTCTGGGCCAGGAAGAAAGCCAGGCTCTCCCCAGCTCTGGGGTTCCTGGAGTGCCCAGGGATGGATGGGGCTGGCTATAACAGGTCAAGGGTTGAAAGAAGGTGTGAAGGCATCTATCTATCAGCTCACCTAGCCTGCATCCATGGAGAAGGAAGCTGAGAAAGTTTTGAATGCCAGCAGAAACAATTGTTCGTTTTCCCCTCAAGTGTTTTTTTATTTTTTTCCTCTCTCACATCTCTACCATATTTGAATCGAAGTGTTTTTCATGTATCAGTTTAAGATTTATCAGGATAAATCAAGGTGCAGAGATAAAAACTAAAGGAATAAACAATCTTTTCAATGACATAATATCAGAAAATTTTCCCAGCCTAAAGAATGAATGAAAAATCAAGTACTTACAGGACCCCAAACATACAAATTATAGCAGATACACACTAAGGTATATTATAACAATAACAACTAACATACAGAACACAGATAGAATCTTAAAGGCCACAAGAGAAAAATATCAAATTAGGTATAGAAGGGAACCAATTTGGATTTAAGCTGATTTTTCAACCTAGACTCTCAAAGCTAGGAGGTCCTGGAATAGTATATTTCAAGTTCTAAAAGAAAATGGATGCCAGCCAAGAATTTTATATCCAACAAAATAGAGCTTCAGATTTGAAGATGAAATAAAGACCTTCCATAATAAACAAAAATTAAAAGAATTTACAACTAGAAAGCCTACACTCCTGAACATTCTTGACAAAATACTCCATAAGGATGAAATGAAGAGGAAAAAAAAACACCAGCAAACAGGGGAACTACACTGAAGGAATAGCCAATCAAAAGAGAAACTAAGTCAAATTAAAAAACAGAAAAAAACAAAATGACCAGGAATACAAATTACATGCAAATAATGACCTTGAATGTTAATGGCCGAAAGCATCAATCAAAAGGCATAGACTAGCAAGTTGGATTAAAAAACAAGACTCAACAATTTGCTGTCTCCAAGAGACTCACCTCATAGGGAAAGACATCCACAGACTGAAGGTGAAAGAATGAGAAAAAACATATCAATCATTTGGATCATGTAAACAAGCAGGGGTTTCCATCAGATAAAGTGGAATTCAAGCCAAACATAATCAGAAGGGACAAAGAAGGAAATTTCATACTGCTTAAGGGAATTAGACATTAGCAAGACGTAAGAATCATTAATATTTATGCCCAAACAATGGAGTATCTATGTACATCAAACAAACCCTTCTCAATTTCAAGAATCAAATAGAATACAACACAATAATACTAAGTGACTTTAATACACCTCTCTCACTATTGGACAGATTATCCAAACAAAACCTAAATAAACTATAGAACCAAATGATATGCAATCAATAATTTAGACTTAACAAACATATATAGAATACTTTATCCATCAACAAGCAAATACACTTTCTTCTCATCAGCACATAGATCCTTCTCTAAAACAGACCATAACTTTGGCTACAAAGCAACACTTAGCAAATAAAAAAAAAATACAGATAATACCCTGCATACTATCAGAACATAATGGAATGAAATTAGAAATCAAGGACAAAATAAAAAATAAAAGCTACTCTAACACCTGGAGACTAAATAATATACTACTGAATGACGAATGAACAGCAGAAGAAATCAAGGATGAAATAAAGAAAAAATATCTAGGGGTAAATGAGAATAGTAATACAACATATCAAAATCTCTGGGACACTATAAAGGAAATACTAAGAGGAAAGTTCATTGCATTGAGCTCATTCATTAAAAGAATAAAGAGTCAACAACTAAATGAACTAATATTACATCTTAAAGCCCTTGAAAAAGAGGAAAAATTCAATGCCAAAAGCAGAAGACAGGGGTTATATATAGCTCAGTGGTAGAATGCCTGTCTAGCATGTGTGAGACACTGGTTTCGATTATCAGCACCTTAATATAAATAAATAAAATAAAGTTCTATCAACAACTAAAAAAAGTATTTTTTAAAAAAAGCAGAAGACAGAAAATAATTAAAATCAGAGCCAAAATCAATAAAATTGAAATGAAAAAAACAATTCAAAAAACTGACAAAACAAAAAGTTGGCTCTTTGAAAGAATAAATAAAATTGATAAACCTCTAGCCATGCTATTGAACAGAAAGAGAGAAATAACTCAAATTACTAAAATAAGTGATAAAAAAGGAAATATCATGATGGACACTGCTGAAATACAGAAGATAATTAGACACTATTTTGAAAATTTATGCTCCAATAAAACAGAAAATCTTAAAGACATCTATAAATTTCTAGACACATATGACCTACCCAAACTGAATCAGGAGGACATACACAATTTAAATATATTAATTTCAAGCAATGAAGTAGAAGACACCATCACAGATTCTTAGCCAAGGTCTATAAGACCTTCAAAGAAGAATTAACACCAATACTCCTCAAATTATTCCAAGAAATAGTAAAGGAGGGAATCCTTCCAAATTCATTCTATAAGGCTAATATCACCCTGACACCAAAACCAGCAAACACACATCAAGGAAAGAAAACTTTGGACAAATATCCCTGTTGAACATAGGTACAGAAATTCTCAATAAAATTCTGGCAAATTGCATACAAAAACATATTAAAATGGGGGTCAGGGTTATGGCTCAGTGGTAGAATGCTTACCTCATGTATGAGGTACTAGATTCAATTCTCAGCATATAAATGAATAAAATAAAGGTCCATCAACAACTAAAAAATATATATTAAAAAAAGATAGTGTACCACAATTGAGTGGGGTTCATCCCAGGGATGCAAGGTTGATTCAGTATTAAGAAATCAATAAACATAATTCATCAGATCAATAAGCTTAAAAACAAAAATCAGATGATCATCTCAATAGAAGCAGAAAAAGTGTTTGACACAATACAACACCGCTTCACGTTCAAAACACTAGAAAAACTAGGGATACCAGAAACATACATCAACATTGTAAAAGCTATAAATGCTAAACCCAAAGCCAACATCACTCTAAATGAAGGGAGGAAAAGCATTCCCTCTAATGGAACAAGACAAGAATGCCCTCTTTCACAACTTCTATTCAACATTAACCTTGAAACTCTAGCCAAGAGCAATTAGACAAGAAAAAGAAATTAAAGGGATATGAATATGAAATACTAATTGCCAATGATATGATTCTATATTTAGAAAATCCAAAAATATTCCACCAGAAAACTTCTAGAACTAATAAATGTATTCAGCAAAGTAGCAAGATATAAAGTCAACACCCATAAATCAAACACATTCCTATACATCAGTGATAAATCTACTGAAAGAGAAATTGAAAAACTACCC